ACTTATTTGCCGAGAGAAAGCAGGAATGGAAACAAATCTGTTGGTACTACTTGCTTGATAGTCATTCACGAATAAGAACTGCTTAGGTGCTGCAAGTCGTTTCTTGGTACTGTGATGTGCAATGGAATCTGGAGAAAAGGCGGGGGCGACATTCGCAACGTGCGTTGCGACGGTAACAGTGCAGCATGCGAAGACGAATATCCTAAGGGCTCAGATGGAAGGTACCGTGGCTGAAAGTTTTGTGGCCACGTGGAGAAATGTAACTAAGGGGATCAACGATGGGATCTGACGCATGGAGATTCGTGAGTCAGGGGTAAGTCCAGGTTCGTTTTGTGCACGTGTCGGTAACTGATGACGTGGATGTTCGTGGATTCCACGTCTGTTGACTTCAATTCGTGGGCTATGATGATCCACCTCCTACGCCAGTCAGCAACAAACCTTGGAATTGGAAGGTTCGCCAGGCGCCGCGTCGCAACGAGCCACATAAGAGGGATAAAGAAAGGAAACACTTGGATTAAAAAGCAAAATCTTTCAACATATTTGAATAAGAGAGTCAATGCACAGCCTGCCTAATCGCCAATACCAACATGCTTAGACAACACGGTTAAATCTAGGCTCGTTTGCGTTTGCCTCCATTTTTTTTCGTCTTCAATGTGATTCCTTGCTGTTCTTTCATCGGCTTCTTACTCTCCGCCTCCTGCTTCCCTACAAGTTTTTGCTATTGCTTTCCCTTCCCCTTGCCCTTCTTCAAAGCCTGCTCCCTTTCCTGCTGCTGCTGCTGCTCTTTCAACCCGAAGCCGTCTCCCTCCCATACGGCTCCCCACCCAGCAACACCAACACCACCACCGCTACTGCTCTGACCCGATAGCGTACTATTAGGAAAAGCGTTCCCACCGATTGTAACACCTTTACTTCCTCCTCCCTTGCCCGAAGCTACACCCCCAGCTCCTCCAGAAGCCTTTCTTGTATCAGTACTAGCGCTTGCAACATGCTTCTTGGATTTTTCAGAAACTCCTGCTCGGCCTCCTCCCTTTGCCTTTCGCACCACTGCCGTCCATCCATCCCCTCCCTCCTCTTGACTGAGCGCTACAGCCGCAGCAGCAGCTGTAGCAGACGCAGCAGATGCAGCTACAGCAGCAGAAAGAGAAGTGACAGAACCAGGAGGTGTGAGACTGGTGGTAACTGCATCGCCAGGTGTAATAGTAACGGTTCCCAGAGTGGTTGTAGCCGGTGCGGTGGCAAGGGATGACGAAGCAGAGAGGGAGGAGGAGCCAGGAGGGCGGAGGAAGGAGAGGGAGGAGAAGAGAGAGGAGAGGAGGGCCGTGTCTGGAGGAGATGGTGGGGTTGCTACCTGTGACAGGGTGGGAGAGAAAGGGAGAGGAAAAGAGATTATTACAAGCAATAAAAAGGGGAAGTGAGGGTGGTCAGAGAAGGGAGAGGGAGGAGAAGAGAGAAGAGAGCAGGGCAGTATTCGGAGGAGAGGGAGGTGTTGACACCTGTGAAGGGGTGTGGTGTGGGTGAAAGGGGAGGAGGGAATTGAAGGTTTGAAACGCAAAAGATAGCTCTGGTGGTAACCGCATTGCCAGGTGCAATAGCAGAGCATCCAGGACTGGTAAAATCAATTTTGAGAATTCTCAAAAGTGATTCCAAAACAGGATTGAAACGCAAAAAATAAGCTCTGCTGGTAACCACATTGCCGGGTGCAATAGCAGCAGTGCATCCAGGACTGGTTGCGGCAGATGCGGCGGAAAGAATTTTGAGGCGCCTTAAAAGTCGTCTCATTTCCCACAGCTGTTAATGCATTGTCGGGTGCATTAGCAGTGCACTTCTGAATGGCTGTGGCAGGTGCGGTGGCACGAGATGAAGAAGCACAGATGGGGTAGGAGGAAGGAGGACGGAGGAAGGAGAGGAGGAGAGGAAAATGAGTGGAGGGTGGGGAGGAGCATAGCTTGTGGAGGGAGGGTGCGTATATCAAGTATGCGCTGGGATGCTGACTACAGTCTGACGCGTCCCAATCATACTTATCTTGAGGTGAGCGACATACTTGTCTTGAGGTGAGCGACATACTTGTCTTGAGGTGGGCGACATACTTGTCTTGAGGTGAGCGACATACTTGTCTTGAGGTGGGCGACATACTTGTCTTGAGGTGGGCGACATACTTGTCTTGAGGTGGGCGACATACTTGTCTTGAGGTGGGCGACATACTTGTCTTGAGGTGAGCGACATACTTGTCTTGAGGTGGGCGACATACTTGTCTTGAGGTGGGCGACATACTTGTCTTGAGGTGGGCGACATACTTGTCTTGAGGTGAGCGACATACTTGTCTTGAGGTGAGCGACATACTTGTCTTGAGGTGAGCGACATACTTGTCTTGAGGTGAGCGACATACTTGTCTTGAGGTGGGCGACATACTTGTCTTGAGGTGCCTCAAAAATGCCGATAGTCTGCCGCATCGCAAGCATGCATTGCATTGGTGAGGGGCATGCGTGTGGTGTTGGCAATGACAGGTGGATGGTCACGCATGACAGCTGCTGCTGGTTTTCTAGCCCAAATGCTTACTTGGGGTGTTGGCAATGACAGGTGGATGGTCGCACACGGCCGCTGCTGCTGGTTCTGCTGCCTCCTTGCCTCGGCACGAGCCAAAAGCTTCCTGGAAAGACAAAAGGGACCAAGAAGGACAGAAGGTTTGGTTAATATCAGTGTTACAAGGTTCGCATGTCAATTTTTGAGTCGACTCTAAATAATATCAGTGTAACAAGGTTTGCATGTCATACTTTGCTAAAATACAGCGAGAAGCTGGATTCGCTGTATGTATTTCCGACGGCCGAAGGTCATAGGTCAAAGAATAGGTCCCACACGTGCTGCAAGTGCTGCTTTAGCAAGACACTTGCTACTCACACTTGTGTGCTGCATGCATGCACGAGCACAAGTCTGACCTGAAGCACACGTCTGACCTGAAGCACAAGTCTGACCTGAAGCACACGTCTGACCTGAAGCACACGTCTGACCTGAAGCACAAGTCTGACCTGAAGCACACGTCTGACCTGAAGCACAAGTCTGACCTGAAGCACACGTCTGACCTGAAGCACACGTCTGACCTGAAGCACACGTCTGACCTGAAGCACACGTCTGACCTGAAGCACACCAGCACAGGCAAACCAAAGCCGACCAAAATTCATTACTGTTGGTTGAATATCATACTTGGCGGTTACGGTCAGCACACTTACCTAAGCGCGATAACAACCAGGATTTTGTAGCAATTCTTGGAGGTTGCGCTTACTTGGGAGTGACAGTCAAGATAATGCAGATCTGATGACGTGTCAGTCCGGCCAGTGTCAGCATGGCTGCCACGTCAGCAGGCCTTTTCAGCTGGCGTGCTGATGTGGCACCACAGGATAGTATCAAGCTCTTGCCACGTGTCACCTCAGAGACCTCCTGACATGGGGAACGAAAGCGAATGAATAGAGGAAACACAATGCTGTGATACGTTAATCACTTCCCAAGTTCTTAATGATTAAGCATGCATATATTGCAGAAATTGTTTGGGAAAGAAAAGAAGTAGAATAAACAATCGGCTATCAACAGTAACAGCAAGTGCGAACACCTGTTCGGTTCGCCTCGAATGGCTTAAATTGTTCGCCGAACAGTGTTCGATGTTCGCCCGAACACGTTCGTGTTCGGGCCGCTGCTGCAATTTGCCCCGCGACGAACGCGAACGTGTTCGAGGTTCGCCCGAACACGCCTTCACAGGCGAACGGCGAACTCGTGTTTTTGCTTAAAGTGTTCGCCGAACCGAACAGTGTTCGGTTCGGCAAACGGATGTGTTCGTCTAGGGGCGAACACGAACTTGCTCATCCCTACCTTGACGCCCTGTAACAGGGGTGTCAGTAAGGAGCGGTCTTTCAAGGTAGGTCCGTAGCAGCCTGAGCGGCCTCATCAGCCTTATGAGCCTCATCACCTCACCTTGATGCCCTGTAACAGGGGTGTCAGTAAGGAGCGGTCTTTCAAGGTAGGTCCGTAGCAGCCTGAGCGGCCTCATCAGCCTTATGAGCCTCATCACCTCACCTTGATGCCCTGTAACAGGGGTGTCAGTAAGGAGCGGTCTTTCAAGGTAGGTCCGTAGCACCTTGGGCGGCCTCATCAGCCTTATGAGCCTCATCACCTCACCTTGATGCCCTGTAACAGGGGTGTCAGTAAGGAGCGGTCCTTCAGAGCAGGTCCGTAGCTGAACTCAAACACCCGGTCGGCCTGCGAGAACATGGTGTGCATGTGAGAGAATCCCGTTTGATTTTCGGCGAGATAAGCATAAACAAGAACGAAGTGACAAGTGACTTTTGAGTCGACTCAATAGTCATAACGAAGTGATAAGTGATCCAACGCACGTACGATAGTGATGCAAGCGAGTGGGTGGGGCAAATAGAAGCATCCAGAGTGTAGACATGGAAGTCTACTCTTGGGGCACATCGACAATACCATTTGTGCCGCATGCAAGTGGAGAAAATAGAGGCATCCATCCACCAGGATAGAGATAAGAATTCCCCTTTATTCCTTGACTTTAGAGTCTTTTGACTCGACTCAAAAGTTGTATTTTTTTCCTTGACTTAAGAGCCGACGCGAAAAAATATAGAGGCATCCATCCATCCTTCCAGGGTGGAGATAGGAACTCCCATTCCATGCGACATCCCAGGATGGACTCTTGCATCTCAATGCGACATCCCATGGATGGATGCCTCTATATTTTTTCGCGACAGAATGGACTCTTGCATGGAATGGGAGATGGACTCTTGCATCTCAATGCGACAAAATGGAACGCAGAAAAAAATGGCTTGCATACATACCATTAGCAGCAACAACACTACCTGCACATCAGCTAACCCCCGCACACCTGCACATCAGCTAACCCCCGCACACCTGCACATCAGCTAACCCCCGCACACCTGCACATCAGCTAACCCCCGCACACCTGCACATCAGCAAACCCCCGCACACCTGCACATCAGCTAACCCCCGCACACCTGCATCACAGCTTTGATTGCGGCAGGGGAGGGTCGGCTTGGCACAAAGTGGGACACGTCAAAAGAAACAATGTCTGCCTGTGGGAGAGAGGAGGGCAGGGAGGGGAGTGGGAGGGGGGGAGGGGAGATGAAGGGATGGAAGGGGGAGAGGAAGGGAATGAGATGTACTGGGAGGGTCGGCTTGGCACGAAATGGGACCGATCAAAAGAGACAATGTCCCCCTTTGGGAGAGAGGAGGATGGGGAAAGGAGTGCGACAGAAAGTTACAGGGGTGGGGAGATGGAAGAGGATAGTGAGGGGAGATGAAAGAGGATAGTGAGGGGAGATGAAAGAGGATAGTGAGGGGAAATGAAAGAGGATAGTGAGGGGAGATGAAAGAGGATAGTGAGGGGAGATGAAAGAGGATAGTGAGGGGAGATGGAAGAGGATAGTGTGCGGAGATGAAGGAGGATAGTGAGGGGAGATGAAAGAGGATAGTGAGGGGAGATGGAAGAGGATAGTGAGGGGAGATGAAGGAGGATAGTGAGGGGAGATGAAAGAGGATAGTGAGGGGAGATGAAGGAGGATAGTGAGGGGAGATGAAAGAGGATAGTGAGGGGAGATGAAAGAGGATAGTGAGGGGAGATGAAAGAGGATAGTGAGGGGAGATGAAGGAGGATAGTGAGGGGAGATGGAAGAGGATAGTGAGCGGAGATGAAGGAGGATAGTGTGCGGAGATGAAGGAGGATAGTGAGGGGAGATGGAAGAGGATAGTGAGGGGAGATGGAAGAGGATAGTGAGGGGAGATGAAAGAGGATAGTGAGGGGAGATGAAAGAGGATAGTGAGGGGAGATGGAAGAGGATAGTGTGCGGAGATGAAAGAGGATAGTGAGGGGAGATGAAAGAGGAAAGTGAGGGGAGATGGAAGAGGATAGTGAGGGGAGATGAAGGAGGATAGTGAGGGGAGATGGAAGAGGATAGTGTGCGGAGATGAAGGAGGATAGTGAGGGGAGATGAAAGAGGATAGTGAGGGGAGATGGAAGAGGATAGTGAAGGGAGATGAAGGAGGATAGTGAGGGGAGATGAAAGAGGATAGTGAGGGGAGATGAAGGAGGATAGTGAGGGGAGATGAAAGAGGATAGTGAGGGGAGATGGAAGAGGATAGTGAGGGGAGATGAAAGAGGATAGTGAGGGGAGATGAAAGAGGATAGTGAGGGGAGATGAAGGAGGATAGTGAGGGGAGATGAAGGAGGATAGTGAGGGGAGATGAAGGAGGATAGTGAGGGGAGATGAAAGAGGATAGTGAGGGGAGATGAAAGAGGATAGTGAGGGGAGATGAAAGAGGATAGTGAGGGGAGATGAAAGAGGATAGTGAGGGGAGATGGAAGAGGATAGTGAGGGGAGATGAAAGAGGATAGTGAGGGGAGATGAAGGAGGATAGTGAGGGGAGATGAAAGAGGATAGTGAGGGGAGATGAAGGAGGATAGTGAGGGGACATGAAAGAGGATAGTGAGGGGAGATGAAAGAGGATAGTGAGGGGAGATGGAAGAGGATAGTGAGGGGAGATGAAAGAGGATAGTGTGCGGAGATGAAGGAGGATAGTGAGGGGAGATGAAAGAGGATAGTGAGGGGAGATGGAAGAGGATAGTGAGGGGAGATGAAGGAGGATAGTGAGGGGAGATGGAAGAGGATAGTGTGCGGAGATGAAGGAGGATAGTGAGGGGAGATGAAAGAGGATAGTGAGGGGAGATGGAAGAGGATAGTGAGGGGAGATGAAGGAGGATAGTGAGGGGAGATGAAAGAGGATAGTGAGGGGAGATGAAGGAGGATAGTGAGGGGAGATGAAAGAGGATAGTGAGGGGAGATGGAAGAGGATAGTAAGGGGAGATGAAAGAGGATAGTGAGGGGAGATGAAAGAGGATAGTGAGGGGAGATGAAGGAGGATAGTGAGGGGAGATGAAGGAGGATAGTGAGGGGAGATGAAAGAGGATAGTGAGGGGAGATGAAAGAGGATAGTGAGGGGAAATGAAAGAGGATAGTGAGGGGAGATGAAAGAGGATAGTGAGGGGAGATGAAAGAGGATAGTGAGGGGAGATGAAAGAGGATAGTGAGGGGAGATGAAAGAGGATAGTGAGGGGAGATGAAAGAGGATAGTGAGGGGAGATGAAAGAGGATAGTGAGGGGAGATGAAGGAGGATAGTGAGGGGACATGAAAGAGGATAGTCAGGGGAGATGAAAGAGGATAGTGAGGGGAGATGGAAGAGGATAGTGAGGGGAGATGAAAGAGGATAGTGAAGGGAGATGGAAGAGGATAGTGAGGGGAGATGGAAGAGGATAGCGAGGGGAGATGGAAGAGGATAGTGAGGGGAGATGAAGGAGGATAGTGAGGGGAGATGAAAGAGGATAGTGAGGGGAGATGAAAGAGGATAGTGAGGGGAGATGAAGGAGGATAGTGAGGGGAGATGGAAGAGGATAGTGAGCGGAGATGAAGGAGGATAGTGTGCGGAGATGAAGGAGGATAGTGAGGGGAGATGGAAGAGGATAGTGAGGGGAGATGAAAGAGGATAGTGAGGGGAGATGGAAGAGGATAGTGAGGGGAGATGAAAGAGGATAGTGAGGGGAGATGAAAGAGGATAGTGAGGGGAGATGGAAGAGGATAGTGTGCGGAGATGAAGGAGGATAGTGAGGGGAGATGAAAGAGGATAGTGAGGGGAGATGGAAGAGGATAGTGAGGGGAGATGAAGGAGGATAGTGAGGGGAGATGAAAGAGGATAGTGAGGGGAGATGGAAGAGGATAGTGAGGGGAGATGAAAGAGGATAGTGAGGGGAGATGAAAGAGGATAGTGAGGGGAGATGAAGGAGGATAGTGAGGGGAGATGAAAGAGGATAGTGAGGGGAGATGGAAGAGGATAGTGAGGGGAGATGAAAGAGGATAGTGAGGGGAGATGAAAGAGGATAGTGAGGGGAGATGAAGGAGGATAGTGAGGGGAGATGAAGGAGGATAGTGAGGGGAGATGAAGGAGGATAGTGAGGGGAGATGAAAGAGGATAGTGAGGGGAGATGAAAGAGGATAGTGAGGGGAGATGAAAGAGGATAGTGAGGGGAGATGAAAGAGGATAGTGAGGGGAGATGGAAGAGGATAGTGAGGGGAGATGGAAGAGGATAGTGAGGGGAGATGAAGGAGGATAGTGAGGGGAGATGAAAGAGGATAGTGAGGGGAGATGAAGGAGGATAGTGAGGGGAGATGAAAGAGGATAGTGAGGGGAGATGGAAGAGGATAGTGAGGGGAGATGAAAGAGGATAGTGAGGGGAGATGAAAGAGGATAGTGAGGGGAGATGAAGGAGGACAGTGAGGGGAGATGAAGGAGGATAGTGAGGGGAGATGAAAGAGGATAGTGAGGGGAGATGAAAGAGGATAGTGAGGGGAAATGAAAGAGGATAGTGAGGGGAGATGAAAGAGGATAGTGAGGGGAGATGAAAGAGGATAGTGAGGGGAGATGAAAGAGGATAGTGAGGGGAGATGAAAGAGGATAGTGAGGGGAGATGAAAGAGGATAGTGAGGGGAGATGAAAGAGGATAGTGAGGGGAGATGAAGGAGGATAGTGAGGGGACATGAAAGAGGATAGTGAGGGGAGATGAAAGAGGATAGTGAGGGGAGATGGAAGAGGATAGTGAGGGGAGATGAAAGAGGATAGTGAAGGGAGATGGAAGAGGATAGTGAGGGGAGATGGAAGAGGATAGTGAGGGGAGATGGAAGAGGATAGTGAGGGGAGATGAAGGAGGATAGTGAGGGGAGATGAAAGAGGATAGTGAGGGGAGATGAAAGAGGATAGTGAGGGGAGATGAAAGAGGATAGTGAGGGGAGATGAAGGAGGATAGTGAGGGGAGATGGAAGAGGATAGTGAGCGGAGATGAAGGAGGATAGTGTGCGGAGATGAAGGAGGATAGTGAGGGGAGATGGAAGAGGATAGTGAGGGGAGATGAAAGAGGATAGTGAGGGGAGATGGAAGAGGATAGTGAGGGGAGATGAAAGAGGATAGTGAGGGGAGATGAAAGAGGATAGTGAGGGGAGATGGAAGAGGATAGTGTGCGGAGATGAAGGAGGATAGTGAGGGGAGATGAAAGAGGATAGTGAGGGGAGATGGAAGAGGATAGTGAGGGGAGATGAAGGAGGATAGTGAGGGGAGATGGAAGAGGATAGTGTGCGGAGATGAAGGAGGATAGTGAGGGGAGATGAAAGAGGATAGTGAGGGGAGATGGAAGAGGATAGTGAGGGGAGATGACGGAGGATAGTGAGGGGAGATGAAAGAGGATAGTGAGGGGAGATGAAAGAGGATAGTGAGGGGAGATGAAAGAGGATAGTGAGGGGAGATGAAAGAGGATAGTGAGGGGAGATGAAAGAGGATAGTGAGGGGAGATGAAGGAGGATAGTGAGGGGACATGAAAGAGGATAGCGAGGGGAGATGAAAGAGGATAGTGAGGGGAGATGGAAGAGGATAGTGAGGGGAGATGAAAGAGGATAGTGAAGGGAGATGGAAGAGGATAGTGAGGGGAGATGGAAGAGGATAGCGAGGGGAAATGGAAGAGGATAGTGAGGGGAGATGAAGGAGGATAGTGAGGGGAGATGAAAGAGGATAGTGAGGGGAGATGAAAGAGGATAGTGAGGGGAGATGAAGGAGGATAGTGAGGGGAGATGGAAGAGGATAGTGAGCGGAGATGAAGGAGGATAGTGTGCGGAGATGAAGGAGAATAGTGAGGGGAGATGGAAGAGGATAGTGAGGGGAGATGAAAGAGGATAGTGAGGGGAGATGGAAGAGGATAGTGAGGGGAGATGAAAGAGGATAGTGAGGGGAGATGAAAGAGGATAGTGAGGGGAGATGGAAGAGGATAGTGTGCGGAGATGAAAGAGGATAGTGAGGGGAGATGAAAGAGGATAGTGAGGGGAGATGGAAGAGGATAGTGAGGGGAGATGAAGGAGGATAGTGAGGGGAGATGGAAGAGGATAGTGTGCGGAGATGAAGGAGGATAGTGAGGGGAGATGAAAGAGGATAGTGAGGGGAGATGGAAGAGGATAGTGAGGGGAGATGAAGGAGGATAGTGAGGGGAGATGAAAGAGGATAGTGAGGGGAGATGGAAGAGGATAGTGAGGGGAGATGAAAGAGGATAGTGAGGGGAGATGAAAGAGGATAGTGAGGGGAGATGAAGGAGGATAGTGAGGGGAGATGAAAGAGGATAGTGAGGGGAGATGGAAGAGGATAGTGAGGGGAGATGAAAGAGGATAGTGAGGGGAGATGAAAGAGGATAGTGAGGGGAGATGAAGGAGGATAGTGAGGGGAGATGAAGGAGGATAGTGAGGGGAGATGAAGGAGGATAGTGAGGGGAGATGAAAGAGGATAGTGAGGGGAGATGAAAGAGGATAGTGAGGGGAGATGAAAGAGGATAGTGAGGGGAGATGAAAGAGGATAGTGAGGGGAGATGAAGGAGGATAGTGAGGGGACATGAAAGAGGATAGTGAGGGGAGATGAAAGAGGATAGTGAGGGGAGATGGAAGAGGATAGTGAGGGGAGATGAAAGAGGATAGTGTGCAGAGATGAAGGAGGATAGTGAGGGGAGATGAAAGAGGATAGTGAGGGGAGATGGAAGAGGATAGTGAGGGGAGATGAAGGAGGATAGTGAGGGGAGATGGAAGAGGATAGTGTGCGGAGATGAAGGAGGATAGTGAGGGGAGATGAAAGAGGATAGTGAGGGGAGATGGAAGAGGATAGTGAGGGGAGATGAAGGAGGATAGTGAGGGGAGATGAAAGAGGATAGTGAGGGGAGATGAAGGAGGATAGTGAGGGGAGATGAAAGAGGATAGTGAGGGGAGATGGAAGAGGATAGTGAGGGGAGATGAAAGAGGATAGTGAGGGGAGATGAAAGAGGATAGTGAGGGGAGATGAAGGAGGATAGTGAGGGGAGATGAAGGAGGATAGTGAGGGGAGATGAAAGAGGATAGTGAGGGGAGATGAAAGAGGATAGTGAGGGGAAATGAAAGAGGATAGTGAGGGGAGATGAAAGAGGATAGTGAGGGGAGATGAAAGAGGATAGTGAGGGGAGATGAAAGAGGATAGTGAGGGGAGATGAAAGAGGATAGTGAGGGGAGATGGAAGAGGATAGTGAGGGGAGATGAAAGAGGATAGTGAGGGGAGATGAAAGAGGATAGTGAGGGGAGATGGAAGAGGATAGTGTGCGGAGATGAAGGAGGATAGTGAGGGGAGATGAAAGAGGATAGTGAGGGGAGATGGAAGAGGATAGTGAGGGGAGATGAAGGAGGATAGTGAGGGGAGATGAAAGAGGATAGTGAGGGGAAATGAAAGAGGATAGTGAGGGGAGATGAAAGAGGATAGTGAGGGGAGATGAAAGAGGATAGTGAGGGGAGATGAAAGAGGATAGTGAGGGGAGATGAAAGAGGATAGTGAGGGGAGATGAAAGAGGATAGTGAGGGGAGATGAAAGAGGATAGTGAGGGGAGATGAAGGAGGATAGTGAGGGGACATGAAAGAGGATAGTGAGGGGAGATGAAAGAGGATAGTGAGGGGAGATGGAAGAGGATAGTGAGGGGAGATGAAAGAGGATAGTGAAGGGAGATGGAAGAGGATAGTGAGGGGAGATGGAAGAGGATAGTGAGGGGAGATGGAAGAGGATAGTGAGGGGAGATGAAGGAGGATAGTGAGGGGAGATGAAGGAGGATAGTGAGGGGAGATGGAAGAGGATAGTGTGCGGAGATGAAGGAGGATAGTGAGGGGAGATGAAAGAGGATAGTGAGGGGAGATGGAAGAGGATAGTGAGGGGAGATGAAGGAGGATAGTGAGGGGAGATGAAAGAGGATAGTGAGGGGAGATGGAAGAGGATAGTGAGGCGAGATGAAAGAGGATAGTGAGGGGAGATGAAAGAGGATAGTGAGGGGAGATGAAGGAGGATAGTGAGGGGAGATGAAAGAGGATAGTGAGGGGAGATGGAAGAGGATAGTGAGGGGAGATGAAGGAGGATAGTGAGGGGAGATGGAAGAGGATAGTGTGCGGAGATGAAGGAGGATAGTGAGGGGAGATGAAAGAGGATAGTGAGGGGAGATGGAAGAGGATAGTGAGGGGAGATGAAGGAGGATAGTGAGGGGAGATGAAAGAGGATAGTGAGGGGAGATGAAGGAGGATAGTGAGGGGAGATGAAAGAGGATAGTGAGGGGAGATGGAAGAGGATAGTGAGGGGAGATGAAAGAGGATAGTGAGGGGAGATGAAAGAGGATAGTGAGGGGAGATGAAGGAGGATAGTGAGGGGAGATGAAGGAGGATAGTGAGGGGAGATGAAAGAGGATAGTGAGGGGAGATGAAAGAGGATAGTGAGGGGAAATGAAAGAGGATAGTGAGGGGAGATGAAAGAGGATAGTGAGGGGAGATGAAAGAGGATAGTGAGGGGAGATGAAAGAGGATAGTGAGGGGAGATGAAAGAGGATAGTGAGGGGAGATGAAAGAGGATAGTGAGGGGAGATGAAAGAGGATAGTGAGGGGAGATGAAGGAGGATAGTGAGGGGACATGAAAGAGGATAGTGAGGGGAGATGAAAGAGGATAGTGAGGGGAGATGGAAGAGGATAGTGAGGGGAGATGAAAGAGGATAGTGAAGGAGATGGAAGAGGATAGTGAGGGGAGATGGAAGAGGATAGTGAGGGGAGATGGAAGAGGATAGTGAGGGGAGATGAAGGAGGATAGTGAGGGGAGATGAAAGAGGATAGTGAGGGGAGATGAAAGAGGATAGTGAGGGGAGATGAAGGAGGATAGTGAGGGGAGATGAAAGAGGATAGTGAGGGGAGATGGAAGAGGATAGTGAGGGGAGATGAAGGAGGATAGTGAGGGGAGATGGAAGAGGATAGTGTGCGGAGATGAAGGAGGATAGTGAGGGGAGATGAAAGAGGATAGTGAGGGGAGATGGAAGAGGATAGTGAGGGGAGATGAAGGAGGATAGTGAGGGGAGATGAAAGAGGATAGTGAGGGGAGATGAAGGAGGATAGTGAGGGGAGATGAAAGAGGATAGTGAGGGGAGATGGAAGAGGATAGTGAGGGGAGATGAAAGAGGATAGTGAGGGGAGATGAAAGAGGATAGTGAGGGGAGATGAAGGAGGATAGTGAGGGGAGATGAAGGAGGATAGTGAGGGGAGATGAAAGAGGATAGTGAGGGGAGATGAAAGAGGATAGTGAGGGGAAATGAAAGAGGATAGTGAGGGGAGATGAAAGAGGATAGTGAGGGGAGATGAAAGAGGATAGTGAGGGGAGATGAAAGAGGATAGTGAGGGGAGATGAAAGAGGATAGTGAGGGGAGATGAAAGAGGATAGTGAGGGGAGATGAAAGAGGATAGTGAGGGGAGATGAAGGAGGATAGTGAGGGGACATGAAAGAGGATAGTGAGGGGAGATGAAAGAGGATAGTGAGGGGAGATGGAAGAGGATAGTGAGGGGAGATGAAAGAGGATAGTGAAGGGAGATGGAAGAGGATAGTGAGGGGAGATGGAAGAGGATAGTGAGGGGAGATGGAAGAGGATAGTGAGGGGAGATGAAGGAGGATAGTGAGGGGAGATGAAAGAGGATAGTGAGGGGAGATGAAAGAGGATAGTGAGGGGAGATGAAAGAGGATAGTGAGGGGAGATGAAGGAGGATAGTGAGGGGAGATGGAAGAGGATAGTGAGCGGAGATGAAGGAGGATAGTGTGCGGAGATGAAGGAGGATAGTGAGGGGAGATGGAAGAGGATAGTGAGGGGAGATGAAAGAGGATAGTGAGGGGAGATGGAAGAGGATAGTGAGGGGAGATGAAAGAGGATAGTGAGGGGAGATGAAAGAGGATAGTGAGGGGAGATGGAAGAGGATAGTGTGCGGAGATGAAGGAGGATAGTGAGGGGAGATGAAAGAGGATAGTGAGGGGAGATGGAAGAGGATAGTGAGGGGAGATGAAGGAGGATAGTGAGGGGAGATGGAAGAGGATAGTGAGGGGAGATGAAAGAGGATAGTGAGGGGAGATGAAAGAGGATAGTGAGGGGAGATGAAAGAGGATAGTGAGGGGAGATGAAAGAGGATAGTGAGGGGAGATGAAAGAGGATAGTGAGGGGAGATGAAGGAGGATAGTGAGGGGACATGAAAGAGGATAGTGAGGGGAGATGAAAGAGGATAGTGAGGGGAGATGGAAGAGGATAGTGAGGGGAGATGAAAGAGGATAGTGAAGGGAGATGGAAGAGGATAGTGAGGGGAGATGGAAGAGGATAGCGAGGGGAGATGGAAGAGGATAGTGAGGGGAGATGAAGGAGGATAGTGAGGGGAGATGAAAGAGGATAGTGAGGGGAGATGAAAGAGGATAGTGCGGGGAGATGAAGGAGGATAGTGAGGGGAGATGGAAGAGGATAGTGAGCGGAGATGAAGGAGGATAGTGAGGGGAGATGGAAGAGGATAGTGAGGGGAGATGAAGGAGGATAGTGAGGGGAGATGAAAGAGGATAGTGAGGGGAGATGAAGGAGGATAGTGAGGGGAGATGAAGGAGGATAGTGAGGGGAGATGAAGGAGGATAGTGAGGGGAGATGAAAGAGGATAGTGAGGGGAGATGAAAGAGGATAGTGAGGGGAGATGAAAGAGGATAGTGAGGGGAGATGAAAGAGGATAGTGAGGGGAGATGAAAGAGGATAGTGAGGGGAGATGGAAGAGGATAGTGAGGGGAGATGAAAGAGGATAGTGAGGGGAGATGAAGGAGGATAGTGAGGGGAGATGAAAGAGGATAGTGAGGGGAGATGAAGGAGGATAGTGAGGGGAGATGAAAGAGGATAGTGAGGGGAGATGAAAGAGGATAGTGAGGGGAGATGGAAGAGGATAGTGAGGGGAGATGAAAGAGGATAGTGTGCAGAGATGAAGGAGGATAGTGAGGGGAGATGAAAGAAGATAGTGAGGGGAGATGGAAGAGGATAGTGAGGGGAGATGAAGGAGGATAGTGAGGGGAGATGGAAGAGGATAGTGTGCGGAGATGAAGGAGGATAGTGAGGGGAGATGAAAGAGGATAGTGAGGGGAGATGGAAGAGGATAGTGAGGGGAGATGAAGGAGGATAGTGAGGGGAGATGAAGAGGATAGTGAGGGGAGATGAAAGAGGATAGTGAGGGGAGATGAAAGAGGATAGTGAGGGGAGATGAAAGAGGATAGTGAGGGGAGATGAAAGAGGATAGTGAGGGGAGATGAAAGAGGATAGTGAGGGAGATGAAGGAGGATAGTGAGGGAGATGAAGAGGATAGTGAGGGGAGATGAAGAGGATAGTGAGGGAGATGAAAGAGGATAGTGAGGGGAAATGAAAGAGGATAGTGAGGGGAGATGAAAGAGGATAGTGAGGGGAGATGAAAGAGGATAGTGAGGGGAGATGAAAGAGGATAGTGAGGGGAGATGAAAGAGGATAGTGAGGGGAGATGAAAGAGGATAGTGAGGGGAGATGAAAGAGGATAGTGAGGGGAGATGGAAGAGGATAGTGTGCGGAGATGAAGGAGGATAGTGAGGGGAGATGAAAGAGGATAGTGAGGGGAGATGGAAGAGGATAGTGAGGGGAGATGAAGAGGATAGTGAGGGGAGATGAAGAGGATAGTGAGGGGAGATGGAAAGAGGATAGTGAGGGGAGATGAAAGAGGATAGTGAGGGGAGATGAAAGAGGATAGTGAGGGGAGATGAAGAGGATAGTGAGGGGAGATGAAAGAGGATAGTGAGGGGAGATGAAGGAGGATAGTGAGGGGACATGAAAGAGGATAGTGAGGGGAGATGAAAGAGGATAGTGAGGGGAGATGGAAGAGGATAGTGAGGGGAGAATGAAAGAGGATAGTGAAGGGAGATGGAAGAGGATAGTGAGGGGAGATGGAAGAGGATAGCGAGGGGAGATGGAAGAGGATAGTGAGGGGAGATGAAGGAGGATAGTGAGGGGAGATGAAAGAGGATAGTGAGGGGAGATGAAAGAGGATAGTGAGGGGAGATGAAGGAGGATAGTGAGGGGAGATGGAAGAGGATAGTGAGCGGAGATGAAGGAGGATAGTGTGCGGAGATGAAGGAGGATAGTGAGGGGAGATGGAAGAGGATAGTGAGGGGAGATGAAAGAGGATAGTGAGGGGAGATGGAAGAGGATAGTGAGGGGAGATGAAAGAGGATAGTGAGGGGAGATGAAAGAGGATAGTGAGGGGAGATGGAAGAGGATAGTGTGCGGAGATGAAAGAGGATAGTGAGGGGAGATGAAAGAGGATAGTGAGGGGAGATGGAAGAGGATAGTGAGGGGAGATGAAGGAGGATAGTGAGGGGAGATGGAAGAGGATAGTGTGCGGAGATGAAGGAGGATAGTGAGGGGAGATGAAAGAGGATAGTGAGGGGAGATGGAAGAGGATAGTGAGGGAGATGAAGGAGGATAGTGAGGGGAGATGAAAGAGGATAGTGAGGGGAGATGGAAGAGGATAGTGAGGGGAGATGAAAGAGGATAGTGAGGGGAGATGAAAGAGGATAGTGAGGGGAGATGAAGGAGGATAGTGAGGGGAGATGAAAGAGGATAGTGAGGGGAGATGGAAGAGGATAGTGAGGGGAGATGAAAGAGGATAGTGAGGGGAGATGAAAGAGGATAGTGAGGGAGATGAAGGAGGATAGTGAGGGGAGATGAAGGAGGATAGTGAGGGGAGATGAAGGAGGATAGTGAGGGGAGATGAAAGAGGATAGTGAGGGGAGATGAAAGAGGATAGTGAGGGGAGATGAAAGAGGATAGTGAGGGGAGATGAAAGAGGATAGTGAGGGGAGATGGAAGAGGATAGTGAGGGGAGATGAAAGAGGATAGTGAGGGGAGATGAAGGAGGATAGTGAGGGGAGATGAAAGAGGATAGTGAGGGGAGATGAAGGAGGATAGTGAGGGGACATGAAAGAGGATAGTGAGGGGAGATGAAAGAGGATAGTGAGGGGAGATGGAAGAGGATAGTGAGGGGAGATGAAAGAGGATAGTGTGCAGAGATGAAGGAGGATAGTGAGGGGAGATGAAAGAGGATAGTGAGGGGAGATGAAGAGGATAGTGAGGGGAGATGAAGGAGGATAGTGAGGGGAGATGGAAGAGGATAGTGTGCGGAGATGAAGGAGGATAGTGAGGGGAGATGAAAGAGGATAGTGAGGGGAGATGGAAGAGGATAGTGGGGGGAGATGAAGGAGGATAGTGAGGGGAGATGAAAGAGGATAGTGAGGGGAGATGAAGGAGGATAGTGAGGGGAGATGAAAGAGGATAGTGAGGGGAGATGGAAGAGGATAGGGAGGGGAGATGAAAGAGGATAGTGAGGGGAGATGAAAGAGGATAGTGAGGGGAGATGGAAGAGGATAGTGGGGGGAGATGAAGGAGGATAGTGAGGGAGATGAAAGAGGATAGTGAGGGGAGATGAAGGAGGATAGTGAGGGGAGATGAAAGAGGATAGTGAGGGGAGATGGAAGAGGATAGGGAGGGGAGATGAAAGAGGATAGTGAGGGGAGATGAAAGAGGATAGTGAGGGGAGATGAAGGAGGATAGTGAGGGGAGATGAAGGAGGATAGTGAGGGGAGATGAAGAGGATAGTGAGGGAGATGAAGAGGATAGTGAGGGGAATGAAAGAGGATAGTGAGGGGAGATGAAAGAGGATAGTGAGGGGAGATGAAAGAGGATAGTGAGGGGAGATGAAAGAGGATAGTGAGGGGAGATGAAAGAGGATAGTGAGGGGAGATGAAAGAGGATAGTGAGGGGAGATGAAAGAGGATAGTGAGGGGAGATGAAGGAGGATAGTGAGGGGACATGAAGAGGATAGTGAGGGGAGATGAAAGAGGATAGTGAGGGGAGATGGAAGAGGATAGTGAGGGGAGATGAAGAGGATAGTGAGGGGAGATGAAGAGGATAGTGAGGGAGATGGAAGAGGATAGTGAGGGAGATGAAGAGGATAGTGAGGGGAGATGGAAGAGGATAGTGAGGGGAGATGAAGGAGGATAGTGAGGGGAGATGAAAGAGGATAGTGAGGGGAGATGAAAGAGGATAGTGAGGGAGATGAAAGAGGATAGTGAGGGAGATGAAGGAGGATAGTGAGGGGAGATGGAAGAGGATAGTGAGCGGAGATGAAGGAGGATAGTGTGCGGAGATGAAGGAGGATAGTGAGGGGAGATGGAAGAGGATAGTGAGGGGAGATGAAAGAGGATAGTGAGGGGAGATGGAAGAGGATAGTGAGGGGAGATGAAAGAGGATAGTGAGGGGAGATGAAAGAGGATAGTGAGGGGAGATGGAAGAGGATAGTGTGCGGAGATGAAGGAGGATAGTGAGGGGAGATGAAAGAGGATAGTGAGGGGAGATGGAAGAGGATAGTGAGGGGAGATGAAGGAGGATAGTGAGGGGAGATGGAAGAGGATAGTGTGCGGAGATGAAGGAGGATAGTGAGGGGAGATGAAGAGGATAGTGAGGGGAGATGGAAGAGGATAGTGAGGGGAGATGAAGGAGGATAGTGAGGGGAGATGAAAGAGGATAGTGAGGGGAGATGAAAGAGGATAGTGAGGGGAGATGAAAGAGGATAGTGAGGGGAGATGAAAGAGGATAGTGAGGGGAGATGAAAGAGGATAGTGAGGGGAGATGAAGGAGGATAGTGAGGGGACATGAAAGAGGATAGTGAGGGGAGATGAAAGAGGATAGTGAGGGGAGATGGAAGAGGATAGTGAGGGGAGATGAAAGAGGATAGTGAGGGGAGATGAAGGAGGATAGTGAGGGGAGATGGAAGAGGATAGTGAGCGGAGATGAAGGAGGATAGTGTGCGAAGATGAAGGAGGATAGTGAGGGGAGATGGAAGAGGATAGTGAGGGGAGATGAAAGAGGATAGTGAGGGGAGATGGAAGAGGATAGTGAGGGGAGATGAAAGAGGATAGTGAGGGGAGATGAAAGAGGATAGTGAGGGGAGATGGAAGAGGATAGTGTGCGGAGATGAAGGAGGATAGTGAGGGAGATGAAAGAGGATAGTGAGGGGAGATGGAAGAGGATAGTGAGGGGAGATGAAGGAGGATAGTGAGGGGAGATGGAAGAGGATAGTGTGCGGAGATGAAGGAGGATAGTGAGGGGAGATGAAAGAGGATAGTGAGGGAGATGGAAGAGGATAGTGAGGGGAGATGAAGGAGGATAGTGAGGGGAGATGAAAGAGGATAGTGAGGGGAGATGAAAGAGGATAGTGAGGGGAGATGAAAGAGGATAGTGAGGGGAGATGAAAGAGGATAGTGAGGGGAGATGAAAGAGGATAGTGAGGGGAGATGAAGGTAGGATAGTGAGGGGACATGAAAGAGGATAGTGAGGGGAGATGAAAGAGGATAGTGAGGGGAGATGGAAGAGGATAGTGAGGGGAGATGAAAGAGGATAGTGAAGGGAGATGAAGAGGATAGTGAGGGGAGATGGAAGAGGATAGCGAGGGGAGATGGAAGAGGATAGTGAGGGAGATGAAGGAGGATAGTGAGGGGAGATGAAAGAGGATAGTGAGGGGAGATGAAAGAGGATAGTGAGGGGAGATGAAGGAGGATAGTGAGGGGAGATGAAGAGGATAGTGAGCGGAGATGAAGAGGATAGTGTAGCGGAGATGAAGGAGGATAGTGAGGGAGATGAAGAGGATAGTGAGGGGAGATGAAATGAGGGAATAGTGAGGGGCGATGGAAGAGGATAGTGAGGGGAGATGAAAGAGGATAGTGAGGGGAGATGAAAGAGGATAGTGAGGGGAGATGGAAGAGGATAGTGTGCGGAGATGAAAGAGGATAGTGAGGGGAGATGAAAGAGGATAGTGAGGGGAGATGGAAGAGGATAGTGAGGGGAGATGAAGGAGGATAGTGAGGGGAGATGGAAGAGGATAGTGTGCGGAGATGAAGGAGGATAGTGAGGGGAGATGAAAGAGGATAGTGAGGGGAGATGGAAGAGGATAGTGAGGGGAGATGAAGGAGGATAGTGAGGGGAGATGAAGAGGATAGTGAGGGGAGATGGAAGAGGATAGTGAGGGGAGATGAAAGAGGATAGTTGAGGGGAGATGAAAGAGGATAGTGAGGGGAGATGAAGGGGATAGTGAGGGGAGATGAAAGGAGGATAGTGAGGGGAGATGGAAGAGGATAGTGAGGGGAGATGAAAGAGTGATAGTGAGGGGAGATGAAAGAGGATAGTGAGGGGAGATGCAAGGAGGATAGTGAGGGGAGATGAAGGAGGATAGTGAGGGGAGATGAAGGAGGATAGTGAGGGGAGATGAAAGAGGATAGTGAGGGGAGATGAAAGAGGATAGTGAGGGGAGATGAAGGAGGATAGTGAGGGGAGATGGAAGAGGATAGTGTGCGGAGATGGAGGATAGTGAGGGGAGATGAAAGAGGATAGTGAGGGGAGATGGAAGAGGATAATGAGGGGAGATGAAGGAGGATAGTGAGGGGAGATGAAAGAGGATAGTGAGGGGAGATGAAGGAGGATAGTGAGGGGAGATGAAAGAGGATAGTGAGGGGAGATGGAAGAGGATAGTGAGGGGAGATGAAAGAGGATAGTGAGGGGAGATGAAAGAGGATAGTGACGGGAGATGAAGGAGGATAGTGAGGGAGATGAAGGAGGATAGTGAGGGGAGATGAAAGAGGATAGTGAGGGGAGATGAAGAGGATAGTGAGGGAATGAAGAGAGAGGATAGTTGAGGGGAGATGAAAGAGGATAGTGAGGGGAAATGAAAGAGGATAGTGAGGGGAGATGAAAGAAGGATAGTGAGGGAGATGAAAGAGGATAGTGAGGGGAGATGAAGAGGATAGTGGAGGGGAGATGAAAGAGGATAGTGAGGGAGATGAAAGATGCTAGTGAGGGGAGATGAAGAGGATAGTGAGGGAGATGAAGGAGGATAGGAGGGGACATGAAAGAGGATAGTGAGGGGAGATGAAAGAGGATAGTGAGGGGAGATGGAAGAGATAGTGAGGGAGATGAAGAGGATAGTGAAGGGAGATGAAAGAGGATAGTGAGGGGCGATGGAAGAGGATAGTGAGGGGAGATGGAAGAGGATAGTGAGGGGAGATGAAGGAGGATAGTGAGGGGAGATGAAAGAGGATGTGAGGGGAGATGAAAGAGGATAGTGAGGGGAGATGAAGAGGATAGTGAGGGGAGATGAAGGAGGATAGTGAGGGGAGATGGAAGAGGATAGTGAGGGGAGATGAAGGAGGATAGTGAGGGGAGATGAAGGAGGATAGTGAGGGGAGATGGAAGAGGATAGTGAGGGGAGATGAAAGAGGATAGTGAGGGGAGATGAAGAGGATAGTGAGGGGAGATGAAAGAGGATAGTGAGGGGAGATGAAAGAGGATAGTGAGGGGAGATGGAAGAGGATAGTGAGGGGAGATGAAGGAGGATAGTGAGGGGAGATGAAAGAGGATAGTGAGGGGAGATGGAAGAGGATAGTGAGGGGAGATGAAGGAGGATAGTGAGGGGAGATGAAAGAGGATAGTGAGGGGAGATGAAGAGGATAGTGAGGGGAGATGAAAGAGGATAGTGAGGGGAGATGGAAGAGGATAGTGAGGGGAGATGAAGGAGGATAGTGAGGGGAGATGAAAGAGGATAGTGAGGGGAGATGAAAGAGGATAGTGAGGGGAGATGAAAGAGGATAGTGAGGGGAGATGAAAGAGGATAGTGAGGGGAGATGAAAGAGGATAGTGAGGGGAGATGAAAGAGGATAGTGAGGGGAGATGAAAGAGGATAGTGAGGGGAGATGAAAGAGGATAGTGAGGGGAGATGGAAGAGGATAGTGAGGGGAGATGAAAGAGGATAGTGAGGGGAGATGAAGAGGATAGTGAGGGGAGATGAAAGAGGATAGTGAGGGGAGATGGAAGAGGATAGTGAGGGGAGATGAAGGAGGATAGTGAGGGGAGATGAAAGAGGATAGTGAGGGGAGATGAAAGAGGATAGTGAGGGGAGATGAAGAGGATAGTGAGGGGAGATGGAAGAGGATAGTGAGGGGAGATGAAGGAGGATAGTGAGGGGAGATGAAAGAGGATAGTGAGGGGAGATGAAAGAGGATAGTGAGGGGAGATGAAGAGGATAGTGAGGGGAGATGGAAGAGGATAGTGAGGGGAGATGAAAGAGGATAGTGAGGGGAGATGAAAGAGGATAGTGAGGGGAGATGGAAGAGGATAGTGAGGGGAGATGAAAGAGGATAGTGAGGGGAGATGAAAGAGGATAGTGAGGGGAGATGGAAGAGGATAGTGAGGGGAGATGAAGGAGGATAGTGAGGGGAGATGGAAGAGGATAGTGAGGGGAGATGAAGGAGGATAGTGAGGGGAGATGAAAGAGGATAGTGAGGGGAGATGGAAGAGGATAGTGAGGGGAGATGAAGGAGGATAGTGAGGGGAGATGAAAGAGGATAGTGAGGGGAGATGAAGAGGATAGTGAGGGGAGATGAAAGAGGATAGTGAGGGGAGATGAAAGAGGATAGTGAGGGGAGATGAAGGAGGATAGTGAGGGGAGATGAAAGAGGATAGTGAGGGGAGATGGAAGAGGATAGTGAGGGGAGATGAAAGAGGATAGTGAGGGGAGATGAAAGAGGATAGTGAGGGGAGATGAAGGAGGATAGTGAGGGGAGATGAAGGAGGATAGTGAGGGGAGATGAAGAGGATAGTGAGGGGAGATGAAAGAGGATAGTGAGGGGAGATGAAAGAGGATAGTGAGGGGAGATGAAAGAGGATAGTGAGGGGAGATGAAAGAGGATAGTGAGGGGAGATGGAAGAGGATAGTGAGGGGAGATGAAAGAGGATAGTGAGGGGAGATGAAAGAGGATAGTGAGGGGAGATGAAGAGGATAGTGAGGGGAGATGAAAGAGGATAGTGAGGGGAGATGAAGGAGGATAGTGAGGGGAGATGAAAGAGGATAGTGAGGGGAGATGAAGGAGGATAGTGAGGGGAGATGAAAGAGGATAGTGAGGGGAGATGAAAGAGGATAGTGAGGGGAGATGGAAGAGGATAGTGAGGGGAGATGAAAGAGGATAGTGAGGGGAGATGAAGAGGATAGTGAGGGGAGATGAAAGAGGATAGTGAGGGGAGATGGAAGAGGATAGTGAGGGGAGATGAAGGAGGATAGTGAGGGGAGATGAAAGAGGATAGTGAGGGGAGATGAAGGAGGATAGTGAGGGGAGATGAAAGAGGATAGTGAGGGGAGATGGAAGAGGATAGTGAGGGGAGATGAAGGAGGATAGTGAGGGGAGATGAAAGAGGATAGTGAGGGGAGATGAAGGAGGATAGTGAGGGGAGATGAAAGAGGATAGTGAGGGGAGATGGAAGAGGATAGTGAGGGGAGATGAAAGAGGATAGTGAGGGGAGATGAAAGAGGATAGTGAGGGGAGATGGAAGAGGATAGTGAGGGGAGATGAAGGAGGATAGTGAGGGGAGATGAAAGAGGATAGTGAGGGGAGATGGAAGAGGATAGTGAGGGGAGATGAAGGAGGATAGTGAGGGGAGATGAAAGAGGATAGTGAGGGGAGATGAAAGAGGATAGTGAGGGGAGATGAAAGAGGATAGTGAGGGGAGATGGAAGAGGATAGTGAGGGGAGATGAAAGAGGATAGTGAGGGGAGATGAAAGAGGATAGTGAGGGGAGATGAAGGAGGATAGTGAGGGGAGATGAAAGAGGATAGTGAGGGGAGATGGAAGAGGATAGTGAGGGGAGATGAAAGAGGATAGTGAGGGGAGATGAAAGAGGATAGTGAGGGGAGATGAAGGAGGATAGTGAGGGGAGATGAAGAGGATAGTGAGGGGAGATGAAAGAGGATAGTGAGGGGAGATGAAAGAGGATAGTGAGGGGAGATGAAAGAGGATAGTGAGGGGAGATGAAAGAGGATAGTGAGGGGAGATGGAAGAGGATAGTGAGGGGAGATGAAAGAGGATAGTGAGGGGAGATGAAAGAGGATAGTGAGGGGAGATGAAAGAGGATAGTGAGGGGAGATGAAAGAGGATAGTGAGGGGAGATGAAAGAGGATAGTGAGGGGAGATGGAAGAGGATAGTGAGGGGAGATGAAAGAGGATAGTGAGGGGAGATGAAGGAGGATAGTGAGGGGAGATGAAGAGGATAGTGAGGGGAGATGAAGAGGATAGTGAGGGGAGATGAAAGAGGATAGTGAGGGGAGATGAAGGAGGATAGTGAGGGGAGATGGAAGAGGATAGTGAGGGGAGATGAAAGAGGATAGTGAGGGGAGATGAAAGAGGATAGTGAGGGGAGATGAAGAGGATAGTGAGGGGAGATGAAAGAGGATAGTGAGGGGAGATGAAAGAGGATAGTGAGGGGAGATGAAAGAGGATA